TTTCACACTGTAACTACTATATTTGTAAATACAAAAAAAAAACGACTTTGACAAATGGTGTCATTCGATTTGTTACAGTCACCTGTAACGGACAGTCGAGTTTTTGAGATTCCCAATTAACAAGAACTGTGAATTTAGGTATCAATAGAATGTAAAGATATTTGGGATTATGTACTGTACACACTTGTACAGATGCGTTCGCCGCTAACTTCGAGCGCCTATGAAGTTTGAATCGTATTATACTTCATCAACTTTTTATCAACGCGACAATAACTCGTTTGATCGTACATTAGATTTCCGTAAACGTAAGTAATTATTATTTCATCGATTACGTTTCTTGTAATCTGTAAAATAACATGAATCTCTAAATTAAGGTGAATTTCATGAAATGTTATTTAGCCTTCTTTAAAGGTCATCGTCACTTCGGCCAACTGATCTATTTTCGTCAAGCAATATTTAGACATTTCTCGCGAGCTGCGATCCGGTTGCGGCGTGACGTCATGACGGGATGGGGTTTTTTGTTAGAAAATTGAAAAAGAGAACGTTGACTGAAGGACGCTTACGTTTAACTTCAGAGGTAAATCACATTGGATAATTTTTTTCAACAAAAATATGATATTAATTTTGTTGTAAAAACCTTTTTTCTTTTTAGGATCTTTGAAAAAAAAATTTTTTTTTAAGAAATTATGAGTGTAATTTTGATATTTTCAAGTGGCAACCCTATGTCAGGAGTCGTAAGTCACCGTCGCAAATGCAGTGGTGCGCAACAATTAAAACATATTTATCTCGCACGCAAGTCATTGTGATTATCCTACTAGCTGTCAGTAACAAAACATAATAACGAGTACTTAAGTAGCAAAGTACGGTACTAAAATAATTCAAAAGAAATAGTATTATATTAGCTTTCTCTAGCTATTCCCGTGCGACGTCATCCGCATGAAATTATAAAAATTATATTTTATTGTTTACACTTGTCAAATTATCAATTACAAATGTCAAAAAGACATGACAATGACAACTTTGCTTCCTTGATGTTGACAGCAACTTACTCTCACCCACATTAGGGTTTTTATCCAAAATATTTACCCCTAAGTCTAATGGTGTTAAAATATGTAGCCTTAAGCGTGACGCGAGAGTAGGGCTTTTTCTTAACAGAAGAATTATTAAAAAATATGCTGTAATTGCTGTCATCTTAGGCAACAAAGAAGTGTGTGTTTACGCTTTATTATAATAGTGTAGATATAAATTAGTTTATTTTTGCTTTAGAAATAAATATCATTGCCCTTATTTTTACATGAAAAATTGACACAGCTGATCCAAAAGCATGCTTTTGTTAACGTAGATTTTTCAGTTTTATTGAATACGAACTGAGTTTGTTTTGTTTTATGTTATTGTTGTGTTTTATATTGTTAATTAAAAATCAATAAAATGACGCGTATCGTTTTTCTGGGTTTCCACACGCAATTAATAGATGATTTAATAATTGATGGACAAATTAGTGTTCTTAATTTGAACGATGTTGAATATCACCGGAAGTGCAGCCGTGTGTGGTTTTGTTTTACGTCACCTATGTCTATCTATACACATAATAAAATTGGAATGTATGTTTGTAATATCAAAAGAAAAAATCCAGATTTCGGGAAGATGATGTATTTGCTTCACTGATTCGCATTTTAAAAATGTTTGTCCGTCTGTCTGTCCGCAAGCCGCGTTTGTTCCGGGTAATTTCAGAAACGTCTGGGCCGATTTCGACCGGACCTTCACTAAAACCCTTTAGCTGACATAGACGGGCATATTATACGCTACTTTTTTTTATCTTAATATTGCTTAGACGAAGTCGCGGGTTAAAAAGTATTGTACTTTTTAACCTATTCACACATTTTTACCGAAATAAAAGATAGTATACCGAAATAAAAGAAATTTATGGGTTCAGTGTTCGACTGAGGCAGTGTTTTCCGTTTATTTAAAAAAAAACTTACACACTTTTTTAACTCTTAAACCAAAATATCGATTTTCTATAAATAAAATCTAATATCTTTTGATAAGTATTGTAAAACGGGTTCCTTCAATGTGCATAATAAATAAATCGTGCAAAAAATGTTTACTTTTTTTTACCAAATAAGGTATTTTCTATCTATGCCGTTGCTTTGGTATGATCGAATTCATACTATAAATAACTTTTTGGTCTTATAGATTTTTTTACTATAACGGTCTGTGATTGACCGATCGATTTACTTTTTCATTATTACTACTTTAAGTTCTACATATTTTTCTGTAAAAAATACAGGCTGGTATGAATTTTTATTTTTTATTGCATAAAACATTAATAGGCACTAGAACTGCTTGTCTTTAACTAGCTGTTGCTCGCGAGTAATTAAAAAAAATAAAAAATATATAGCCTATATTACTCACTAATAACGTAACTCTTTGCTGGTGAAAGATTTTTTTTAAAACAGCACATTAGTTTTTGAGTTATTTCAATACATACAATGATGACTATTTTATAATATTCTGGTAATTTATTCAAAATCAAGGTCATTATGACTGAAGGTCACTGCCTTCCTCTGTAACTGAAGGACTATTAAAATTTTTAACCAAATGTTGTTAATGAAATTTTTTTTTAATAATAAGCATTGTGACCTCTATTTAACCGATATCTAAATGAACATGTTTTTCGTCTTTGGGAGATTCGAAAACATTATACTAATATAAATAACCAGTTTGTTATTATTAGATCTTTTTACATATCTATACTATTATAATAAAGCGTAAACACACACTTCTTTGTTGCCTAAGATGTCAGCAATTACAGCATATTTTTTAATAATTCTTTTTTTTATAAAAAGCCCTACACTTACGTCACGCCTTAGGCTATATATTTTCACGAGATTATACTTAAGGGGTAAATATTTTGGATAAAATCCCTAATTCGGGAAAGAGACCATAAGTTGCTGCCAACATCAAGGAAACAAGACTGTCAAGGTTTGTTATGTCATGTCATTTTGACATTTGCTATTGATAATTTGACAAATGTTAACAATAAAATAAAATTTTCACAATTTCATGCGAATGAACCCGCCAGGGAACAGCTAGTCAACTATAAAAAACATATTACAACAGTAATTAAGCCAACTAGGTTACTGATAAAATAATATTCATCGTTCACTATTATGAATGCGAATGTATGGATGTATGGATGTGTATGGATGTGTATGTGATTATATCAACAGCTAAACAGATCTTGATATAATTTTGTACAGATGTAGAATATAACCTGCAAAACTATTGAGGCTTGTTAGTATTTTTTTTATTTAAACCGTATGGATGAAGTCTCTTCTAAGTCCATGCAATAGTTTTACTCGTCCAATTTTAAATGAGTTGTTTATCAATGATTTAAACTAATTTATTTATATTTGAATCGTAATGTAATTAAATAAACAATTTTCTGTTTAGTTTTTTTCATTTCCGTGATCGTTATGTTTGTTTTATACGGAATGGAAGATCATTTTCGAAAACGACTTTTAAAAAATAAAAAAACGATTATTGTTAATTAAAACCACAGATTAAAATAAATTTGTGTGTATTTTTATGACTACTGTGTTACAAAAAAATTAAAAGTAAAATAAAAAAACAAACACTATTACACTGTGTACACATAAAGGAAGGATTGAAACACACTTTAGAAATATACATCATACTAAAAACATAAATGAGAAAGTTTGCATGGTTGTTTGTTACTAACCAATCTCTCAGGCACAGATGTAGTCTGGAAGAACACAAAGGTTACCTAACAAGTTCTTTTTAAAATTCGAGCGGACAGTCACGAGAGAAAGCTGGTATGTACAAAATGTTTGATTTACTGTGAATCGTCCCGTAAACGGCCATTTGGGATCATTAACCTTTGCACGGAAATGTAAAATTTTACATTATTCACTTATCAAAATGTATCTATAAGTATTTTAAGTGGTTAATAAATAATTAATAGGTCAAGAGAAACATTATTCTTTATGTATATCTTAATTCTTAATACAGGAAATCTATATATCCGACAAGAACGTACTTTTCGTTTGTTTACAATCAGTATTAATTTTAGATTCCTGCAGTTTCTGGGTTCACAGAATAAAAACTTTTTATTAATTACAAAAACCAAGACTTAACAACAATAACAACAACCTCTGATAACCGATTGATCTGGATTTTTCACACCAAGTATCGTTAAATGGCGGGATTCGAATTCGATATCGTGATCCCGCATTCTTAACGGTTTTCGCATTTAAATTTTTACCACACAAACACATGTTTATCCTAAGGAACCGTAAACAAGTTCCCTTCCCTGCTATATTAAATCGATTAAAACTTGCTAAATATAATATACTACATAATAATGATATTTATGACGAACGAACAGGAAAATACAAAGGGTTATTATACTCTTGAAAATAATTGTCTTCAAATACACATGTGTTACACTTCATTATGTTGAAAAAAAATAAAAAAAAAAACTACATCAAAACATATTTATCTGTACAGAACTTCTTTCATCAGTTTTTATTATATTTTTGAAATAGTTTTCTTGCATGAATAAAACTACATTGATATTCAAAATATAAAACCTTACGGAACATTTCGTCTAAACTCAAAATAGAGCAATTACGAACGATAGTTTATGTTGGCCATATGTTCAACGTTGATAACATGTGCGGTTTGATTTGTCTTAAAACTATAAATATTACATTTTTGCAGATAAACGATACCACAATACATTTAACCGCAAACGTATTGTAGATTAAAACAGTAAAAACTTATTAGTTTAGACATTTGAACACGATGGCTTCGCAAATTTTATAACGGCATGGTAACAAACATTCGAAGCGATGACCCAAAAATAAATTTAAAAATATAAATACCGAAGATCATAAACATGTCATGTATTAAATTTGAATATCGGAAAGAAGTTTTTTTAATGCTTTATACGCTAAAAAAAGGACCCAGAGACTTACCAGGCCGAAGAACCCGATTGTATCGTCCTTTTTCTTTTTAATCGGCGTTCCCATATCGTAGATATCGCCGTTCTGGCTCACGAATCTTTTACTTTGACCTTTCATCACTGTTGTAACAATTAACGATTTTATTTTAAATTATTCGCGTCGCACGACTCACCCCGAGACAGCAAGCGTATGCGCGTGCATTCGGGGCGCGCGTCCGACCGTCACTGACCGTTGCTTGTCCGCGCGCTAAAAAGCCGCGAATTACATCGAACGCGGGAAACCCCTTAGAAGCTTTACGGTTTTCCTGCAGCGGTAGCTTATCATTTGATATTCCTTTAGCTTTCTGTCTCCAAATACGTACATGTTAGTAATCTTGACGTAAGTTGATATTATTTATGCAAGTCGATTGGTCAATTTATATGCTTTGGAGGAAAATTTCTGTTGCATGTTAGTGATGTGAAATCTGCAAGAAGTTAATGTAAACGAAGTAATCCGTAAGAAAATTTAGAAATGTAACTAACTAGTTATTATTAATAATTTTTAGTGGTTAGAATTCAGCATATCATTATTTTAAATTCGTGAAACGAAAAATTTCAGCTATCGAATGAACGTGAGATTTGACAAGTTGACGTAGAGAAGAACAGACAGAAATGTATTTATTTAATTTGAGTAATTTAGGTTCAAAATTTAATTGTTTTTTTTTTCTAATTAACGGAACTGGTATTAATAATTTTAAATTAAATCATAAGTCACATAAAACAGAAAGTTGGATGAAAACGTTTTTTGACTCTATTTGTTTGATATTCAGTTTCTTTTTAGTTCATCGTTCTCTAATGACCTTGGTCTTTATTTAAAATCGAAGACTAGTTACATAAAACTTTTCCATACATATAAAGAAGAATAAATAATTTTATCAACGGACAGTTTCTACGAACTACACGTTTATCCTTTAGTGTTACTTTTCCCCCTTGTTAATGTGAATCCCAAAAGAGTTACTTTAGGATTTAAAATACAGTTTCTTAAATTTATTGTTATTTAAATCTTAACAGATTCAAATATTACTAGCTTTCGCCCGCGACTCCGTCCGCGTGGAATTAAAAAAATAAAAGTAAGTAGCCAAGGTGTTCTTCCAGATTATGTTTTACATTTTTGCCAAATTTCATCCAGATCCGTTCAGTGGTTAAGACTACATACTCCAAACATCCATCCATCCATCTAAACTTTCGCATTTATAATATTAGTTAAGTATTTATAGATTATTTATAAAATAGGTATGAAATAAACTATCTTCCTGTCTTTATCCTACTTCTGTCAGGTCTGCTATCACATAACATAACTAAATAACTATTTACGTAAACTAAAAAGTAAGGTTATCTTACGGTTTATAGTAATTAAAAATTGCGAAAAGGATTTTAATTATAATCCTTCTAATTTAAATATTTCCATCAAGAATGTCTTAATTACGAAGCAACCATTTAATGAGAATAGTTCATTTTAACTTTTAATCATAATTGAACAGAAGTTACGCCATCTTGTGACAAAACCGCGCCCGATTGAACGCTTCCTATTTTATAACAATAGTATCGTGAGGCTGTCATTTCTCTCCAATAATTGATTATTCATTTAAATAATACTAGCTGTTCCCGTGCGGCTTCATCCGCATTAATTTATGAAATTTTTTTTTTTTATTGCTTACATTTGGCTTATCAATTGCAAATGTCAAAATACCAATTACCTTACCTTGGCAATCTTGCTTCTTGATGTTGGCAGCAACTTATGGTCTCTTTCCCACATTAGGGTTTTTATCCAATTTATTTGCCCTCTTAGTTTTAAAGCGTGAAAATATATAGCCTAAACCGTGAAGTAAGTGTAGGGCTTTTTATTAAAATAAGAATTGTTTAAAAATATGCTGTGATTCGACATCTTCGTCACAAAGTAGTGTGTGTTTACGCTTCATTATATTAGTACAGATTATATTGGTATATATTAGAACTCTCTGTCATTTAGTTGGCACGGAATAATTTTGCATTTTAATAGGAACCTTCCTATCTTTCTAATACTAGGAATTCACATTACACCACTGGTTTAATTAATAATAATAATAATAATAATAATAATAATAATAAGAAGCATAATAATAATAATAATAATAATATTTGGATTTGGCTCACGAGATTACCGCCATGTGGCGTATGAAATCGACTACCATTATTCCGATAGTCGTTTCGGTACACGGGCTGATAGCGAAGAGCTTCGACCAACACCTCAAGAAGCTCTCGCTAGACAGTTGGATTAAGGGCCCGATTCAAAAGGCGGTTATTTTAGAAACCGCACGACTAGTGAGGAGGTTCCTGTCTCTGCAGCCCTGACCACTGGTTGCTTGAGTCATCGGATTCCACAGCCGGTGGTGCTCTATTTTTTATATAATATATTTTATTTTATTTTTGTAATCTTATAAAATGTATTATATAGAGAGTAAGAAATAAAGATATATGGTTAATAATAATAATTTAATCTATTCAAAACATTACAACCCTTACAAGCATTAGAAAAATGTACAAAAAAAAATCATACCAGTGACAATTAAAACTAAGTACAATTAGTAATCATTGTATGGATAAGTATTATAACCTTACTTCTTACTAATATTATAAATGCGAAAGAATGGTTGGATGGATGTTTGTTAGAGTTTTCCGCCGTAAAAGCTGAACTAATCTCGATTAAATTTGACGTAAATATAGAGTATAGTTTAGAGGAACATGCAGAAATAATAAATAATTTATTGAAAACAAACGTTGAATTATTTCGTTATACTAACTCATTATTATTGCATTTATAATAACGTAAAACTACTAAAAAAAACTACTTGCTTTTTTTTTAATTCCACGCGGGCGAAGTCGCGGGTTAGCTAGTTAGTAATAATTTTGAGGAGCACGAATGCTTTCGTCCTTTTATTTTTATAACAATACCAATAAGTATGTGACGTCAGATTTTATTTATCCATAAAAACTTTGTTACCATTATTTCCAGAAACAGAATTCCCAAAACGTAAAAATTTTAGTTATATACGTCATTCGGTACGTAACAACACTACGGTATTTGAATTGTAAGATATGCATATTATAATTAGACATTTGGGTTTCAGAGCAACCATTTGCATAATATTTTAAATAAGGAACCTATTAACACATTACTCATTGTTGTTATAAATGTTAATTTTATCACCTTTGTATGTTATTTGTTGTTTTTTTTTCTTAATTAATAAACAAACAATAGTTTCGACGTCAAGGAAAATCAAATACACATCAGTATCGCCGGGAAAACGGACATTATTTTTTGACAGATGTGAGGTTGTTTTACGATTTTCCGGGTTTTTATTAATGTTACGTAAGATAAAGTTTAACTTATGCGTAGTTTAATTTAACTTAAGTATAATAACGGTATTTTTTTAATGTTTTCCGTTCTCATTAAAACATTCACACCAATGGAGTATCTAAGATGTGAAAGGGTTTTCATTATTTTTACACAAAGTTCATAAATTAAACGCATGTGTAGATATTAATATTTATTAAAATATCCTTATCTAAAAACATACTTACATAAAATACGATTGTTATTGTATTTGTAACTGCGTATTGTAATGGAATTATTTAACTGTTACACAAATCAGTAACAATTTTAGGTTAGGTGTGATAAATATTTCACAGACAGTTCTTAAAAATCAATCTAAAATGGTTGTACCTTCATAAATAAAAAAAAACTTATCACTACTCGTAATTCAAATAACTTATCCAATAAAAGTTGTCATTATATTTTAAATATTAAAACTGTCATCGGCTGGGGCGCGTTTGTAGAAAGCGCGGGAAACGTCGACGGGGCCTCTGAGACCGAGCCATCTGAAGTAACCATGTCGCCACAGCAGCATCAAAGTTAACATTATGGGAACAGCCAGAAGCACACCTGAAAAAAAATAATAAAAAACTCAAATTATTGACATAAAAAAATATTTTTTTGCACTATAGTCTATGGTTAGAGATAGCAACTTAACATTGGAAGAATGACTTATGCTTTGCCTTTTATTTTTTTATATAATAAGATGGCAAACGAGCAAGCGTCCACCAGAATCCGTTAAAAACGCGAAGCGACCGCTGCCATTAGACATTCGCATAAGCGAATACGTTGCCTACCCTTAAGCGACGGAGGAGAAGACGCACGTAAGAGGATGTTACCCCTTCCTATGCGTCTCCTCCACTGTCATATCCTCGTTTCCGTAAAAAGGAAAAGGGACAAATGTTGATTTAAGGTATGTAAACTAACCTATAAGTGTCCCGAGCAGCATGGCGCCATCCTTTTCAGGTCGATGTCCGTATTTGTCGACGCACCGCATGGTGCGGTGTATTTCATGTAAATGCTTCATCGTGTAGCCCCTCATCTCGATCGGTTCATTGCATCTACGGAAACATCATCATCTTGATTAATACCAGTTCCGAATTAATATCTACAAATGTAGGAGAAAGGACGAAATAAGTAAGGACGGATTTTGTAAAAGAGAATTAACACCAGTATCAATAAATAAACATAATTTAAGAGCACTTCAAAAAAAGAGAGAGAGAGAGAAAGAAGTGAGTAGATGAGTGAAAACAGGGAGGAATTAACTGAACTTGATAATTAGTTTTTAAACTATAAAGTAGTGAGTAATACTATTTTTTTTTATGACAACTAACATAATATCTTGGGTGGAAATTCGCTGTTTCCATTTTCCGTGTTATAAAATTTTAAGACGTTTAACGATATTTTTAATTTCTTAATCCAGGTATGCATTAATAGTTACTTGGAATAATATAAATGAGGCTTTAAAACTTCTCGTGTCGTGGAAAGACCGACAGGTATTGTCATCACTGATTCAACAGGAAAAATGCAAATTTTACTTTATTTTGTACTAGCTGTTCCCGAACGGCTTGATCCGCATGATATTATAAAAAACATTATTTTACTGTTAACATTTGTTAAATTTTCAATTGCAAATGGCAAAATTCAAATGCCAAAGAAAACAAAAGCCATTGAGCCATCAACATTGACATTCTTGATGTTGGCAGCTTGTAGTTTATGAACCCTTTCCCACATGAAGGATTTTCCCAATTTATATATCCCCTAAGTTTAATACTGTCAAATTGTATAGCCTAAAGCGTGACGTAAGTGTAGGGCTTTTTATTAAAAAAATAATTATTCAAAAACATGCCTTAATTGCTGTGTTTACGCTTTATTATAATAGTATAGATAAGTGTAGATAAATAGATTAGTTACTTAAAAATTACATCGTATACAATTTCGATACGATCTCATATATTTAAACGATGTTTAGAGCGCGCGACACCTTTGACAAAACTATCGCATAACTGTTTAGTCTCGCTTTGATTCCTACGAGCTTATATAGAGGTAAACACTACTCGATATTCAGTTGTTCAACTAAACAGTTGAATTGGCTGCGAAACAATCGACAATCGCACAACAGTGCGATAGTTTAGTCAAAGGTGTGCGCTTGCACTGAAAATTTAATTTCACTCTTTAAGAAGTCCAAGATGTCGAAGTAAAAAAAGTGTTTTACGTCAAAACCAGATATTTATACGTTATTTGATTCTAAATAGAAAACCTGTAATTTTGTCAAACTGTATGTTACAAGGAAATGGCATCTAGTATAATATAATCTACGTAATTATAAGAATAATCTTTTAAAAATAACACAGCGATTTGATTAATAGTAATACGAATAGGTCAGATGATCAGGAAAAAATATTATTAAACAGATTTATGCACGAAGCAGTATATAGAACTATTTCATGTTGTATTTGTTAGCATGTAAACCCAAACTGGAAACCGGCACATTCGATACTAGAACCAGAAACCGAGCATAAAATTTAAATGAAGATCGTGTCAATTGTTTCGCAGCCAAATCACTTATTTAGTTGCACAATTAAAAATCGAGTAGTGTACGAACCTCCATATAAGCTCGTAGGAATCAAAGCGAGACCTTTGTGCGATAATTTAGTCAAATGTGTACGCTCTAAACGATTGATATCTTTGTCTGAGAACTGGCTAACTGCGCATGTTTACCTATTTTTTTTAATTCCTCAAAAATACTTCTTACTTTTCTATAACGACTTCAAGCAGTCGTTAGCTCGTGTCTCTTTTTACTGATTTTTTTTTAATACTTACATCATATTAGCGGTAGCATTGACATGTTTTGCTTCTATCACTGGTACCAACACGTCAACCATCCACTGCGTCGAGCAGTCGCAGAGGAAGGGATTGTTGGACACGTCTACTGCTTCTAGAAGATCCCAGCGAGGAAGGAAGCGAGCGTCCAGCTCTGATAAGTTGTTTGATTGCAGGTATAACTGGAAATGATATTTCGTTTATGTTATAGTTTGTCTAAATCATTTAGATTAGTTTGACAATTCATGTCAAATTTAGTAGGGATGGGTTGTGTAAAATCAGTCATGAATCTTATCGATTTTCGATTTTTATTCTTATAGAAGTTGGAATCGATAGATTTATACTTATAACTTATGAAATAAAAAAAAAACACTGTTTTCTCAAATTAATAATGACCATAACAATTAATGAGAGTAAATAAATGTTTATTACTACTACAGCCGTACGTAATCGAATTGGATTTCGCTATTATTTCTGTCATCGCTAAATTTTCTACACTATAATCAATACTAGAATTGTCCTCTTAATTAGTGATTAAGAAAATAATAATTTTAGTTGAGTTCGATAAATATTTAAACCGAATATCGATAGTTCCAAATTGTTCGCTATGTGTGTTTGTTTCTTCACTACGATACCTGTCTATTAAGTATGGCATTTGCCTTCATAGAAATTGAATTCGATACTTCATATACGTCATTTATCAAACTAATCTAACTTATTTAGACACACTATAAAAATGAGCAATGGAGGAAAGTGTCTAAAATGATTCATGTGGGTTTTGAAGCAATTTATTTTCTTGTGTCTTATTAAGGGTTTAACGGCCGAATACTGAAAGAAACTTTAAGAGATGATTGAGATGACGTATGTTAGAGTTATGTGGAGGACAAAAACCTGTTGCGCCTACGGGAGTAGGATAAGGAGGAAGATGATCGTATGATGACTGAAAGAAAACTTAAATTCTCTTTGCAATCGCTTCTTACAATGTGACAAGCGTTGCCTTATCATTTCAGACATTATAATTAATTATTTACGGCTTACTCACGTATACTTTTCTTTTTCCGGTGACTGCACCGACCAGTTTCAGACCCTGCGGGGGTCCTTCAGGGCGAGGGTTAAGTATGTGTCGCGTTCGCGTCGCGCCTCGCACTGAGTATGAGTATGATGAAGTAATGAGTATACGTGAGTAAGCCGTAAATAATTAATTATAAAATGTCTCACGAAAGTTTAAATAATTTAATTTCAGACATTGTTACATATTTAAATGTTTCCGTATATTGCAAGTTATGTAAGAGTGTGTGCACACCTCAAACTAAGCTACTTCACAACTGTTTAGTCTCGCTTTGATTCCTGTGAGCTTCTATGGAGGTGCACATCACTTAATTTAGTTGTGCAACTAAACAGTTGAATTGGCCACGAAACAATTGACTCGCACAACAATTGTGCGAAAGCAACTAAGTAACAATGGCCTATTTATATATCCTCACATTCAATATATCTTTATTACATTTTTAGTTGCCCGTTTGCTTTTACTGGTTTCCACACACCTACAAAAAGTTTTACCACCAAACATTCTATATACCTCTTTGATAGTTGGCCAGTCGTACGTCTCCCCAATATCATCCGGCCTGGCTAAAGCCCTGGGATCAAGGAAGGTCAGCTTGGGGTTGAAGCTGACATGCAGGCTCTGCAGATTCTCCAGGCCCGCCAGCGCGCCGCTCTCAATACTGCGCAGTTCCCTCATATTGCACATGTGAAGCTCCTTCAGTTTTCGAAGGCGAGGGAAACCGCTGGAATGTTACAAGCGAGCATTGGTTAATAATCCTGACAAGGATTAGAGGCTTAATAAGGGGAGGTTGCGATGCTTTTAAAAAGCTTTAAAAATGTCAACATAAAACTATTGTTCTATGCGATATTTTAGTTGTCAAGGAAAACCACAAAAAACTTGAAACATTACTTACATCTTATGTTTCCAGTTTTTTTGTGTACTTAGCTATTGCTGTTATGTCGTAAGTTGTATGTAGTGTAGTAACCAACCAAGTAGAGATTAAGTAAAATAAGTACTTATATAAATTGTAACAATAATTTAAAACATAGTATTTCAATTTCGCCTACTTAAGCGAGCGTTCGCACGGACGCGAAAACGCTAGGCGGTAACTATGTGTCAAAATAGAACGTATGGGATTGTATGAAGCTGTTCATACG